GTGAAACAAGCTCATAAGTGTGGTTCTTCTGCAAAGAACTCATCTCCTTCTTCATGATTTGCATCCATCAATCTTTCTCTGTATGACTCTTTGTTTTCGAAAAACTCTCAGGCTCACCCTTATCAGTAATCAGAATATACTAAGAAATGGGATATTTGGTTGATGGCACGGCAGCTCTTCCAAATCACCGTAACTAAGGCCCAGTTGCCTCTGGTTGAGAGGGTTGCTCTCCCTGCTCAACACCCTCTTTACCCGGGTCTTCATCTCTTTCCTCCTGATCCTCAATTTCTGGTATAGGATCCTGCAACTCTGGCACTTCTTGTTGCACATCATCACATCTAGCATTTTGTGATGGCTTAGGAGATAGGAACAAGTCTGGAGTGATGACATCTCTAGACTTTGCAGACTTCTCAAAATCTGTTACTGTCTGGTCTTCTTGGAACACAACATCTCTGCTCCTGAATATCTTCTTGTTCACTGGATCCCACAACTTGTACCCAAATGCTGCATCTGAATAGCCCACAAATATACATGGAGTGGACTTGTCATCAAGCTTCTGTCTGTTTTCCTTGAAGATGTGTACGAACGCCTTACATCTAAAGACTCTTAAGTGAGAATATGATACATTTCTTCTGGACTAGACTTCCTCAGGTATCGCAAAATTCAACGAAACTAAAGGCGACCTGTTGATGAGATAATAGGTTGTATGAGCGGCTTCAGCCCAGAATGACTTTGGCAACTTTGCCATTTTGAGCATACATCTGACTCTTTCAATAATAGTGCGGTTTATCCTTTCTGCCACACCATTATGTTGTGGGGTACCGAGAACTGTTGTCGTGTCGAATACCTCTGCTAACACAATATGCTTCAAAAGCATTGGAAGTGTACTCGCCACTACTGTCTTTACGAAGACACTTCAACTTCTTCCCGGTCTCTCTTTCCACCATTGCATGAAACTCCTAAAAGTGATGGAATACCTCATCATTCGTCTTCAGGAAATACACCCACAATTCTTTGATGCATCATCAATGAAGGTCAAATAATACTTGCAGCCACCAATTGACTCCACTTCGATTGGGCCATAAACATCCGAGTATACCATACTAAGCACTTCTATTTTCCTCTTGCTTGTTAAACTGAATAATACTTGATGCTGCTTGCCATAAAAGCAATGATCACACGGTTTCATGGCACTCCCTTTGGATAAGGGTATCTTGGATTTCTTTGCCAACAGATGCAATCCCTTCTCCCTCATATGAGCCAGTCTTCTGTGCCATAAGTCTGATGACTCCTTGTTTTCTGCTACATTAAGACTTCCCAGACAGATCTTTGTTTGAGTCTTGTACAGTGTTAAAGACATCTCTCCTCTGGCGATTGTCAAAGCTCCTCCTGTCAACTTCCAACTGTCATTTTTAATGTACATGTATAGCCCTGTCAGTCCAGGGCTCTTTCGGAGATAATATAGAGGCACAAATCTGGAATATGCCTCACATCTTTGAGAACCAGCTTGTGTCCGATATTAGTCTGAATACTAATGTCTCCAATGCCCACAATCTTGGAATAGCTAGAATTTCTCATTCGAACAGTGCCAAAATCTCTAACGTTGTACGAGCTGAAGATTTCTTTATGGGAAGTAACGTGATAAGATGCAGCTGTGTCTATCACCCACTCTGTAGAAATATGGTCAGTCACGTGAGGGCAACCTTTCTCTTCACCAACTACAAGAAGTATTTCATCAGTTGTTGTGGCTGTCGTGTTCTCATCTTCCTTTGACTTACTACTTTGACCTTTATCTTTCCAGCTTGGACAATTCGTCTTTATGTGACCCTTATGGCCACAATGAAAGCAAGAGAAGCTAGAGTTACCTTGACTTTTACTGTCTTTGGATTTACTCTTGTTGTTCCATCTGTCTCTACTCTTGCTTCTTCATCTGCCTCTTCCTCTACCTCTGTCTCTGTTTTTATCTTCTGTGATAAGAGTATGAGACTGATTACCTCCTGTGACCATGCTCAAGGTCAGCTTCTCCTCTGGTGCAGAGTTACTGAGAGAAACCACCAACGTCTCCCAACTATCTAGTAAAGAACTGAGCAGTAGTACAACTTGCATTTCATTGTCCATGGGCATCTTGACGGTTGCAAGTTGATTACCAAATTCTTGAATTCATTGGTGCGCTCGGCGACAGACACACCATTCTTCAACTTCAGATTTACAAGCCTCCTCATCACCAAGGCTTTGTTCTGGGCAGTTTTTGATTGGTACATTCCTTCTAACATTGTCCAAAGGACATATGCATCTATCTCCTGGGTGACGTGGCGGAACACACTGTGGTCTATCCATTGTCTGATACAACCGACAGTCTTCCAGTTCATCTTTATCCAGTCTTCATCCTTTACTTCTTTCGGTTTAACCCCTTTTAGAGAAATAGGGTCAAACAAGTCTTTATAATATAGGATATCTTCCATCCGTTGCTTCCAAATTGCATAATTTAAAGGATTCAACTTGATCATGGATCCTGAAGTTGAAGTGAATTCCTCCATCGTCTTCTTACTTTTTACAGAGACTCTGATTCAAAAATCTGACCATATGGATCTCTCCTGAATACTCCAAATAGTTGGAAACCACTATTGGCTGGCCAAAATCAAACTTCAAATGGCTCAGATCTAGCCAAATTAAGTTCGATGGTTCAGGTCAGCGGATGTACCATAGCCGCGTAGCACCAGATAACCCTTTGCCTCTGGATCTGGTCGGATCAAACCAGCGAGTTAACTTGTCAACCGGCATGAACACGTGGAGCTGACGTGGTTGACATGTGGCGATGATGTGGCGATACGTGGCGCTGACGTGGTTGACGCGTGGCAGTAACGTGGTGCTGACGTGGCAATGACATGACTGCTAGATGGCGGTGACGTCACGAACACGCACACACTACTCTTCTTCTTCCTTCCGCCGCCCGTCGATCGCGTGCTTGAGACTGGTGTGACGCGTCAGTACCATCAATAGCGCGTATGGTGTGTTTTTGAGATTAAGACTCACGCGCTTTCTTTAGGTGGCACGTGAGAGCACGTGGAAGCTTGTTTAGGGCTCGGCTTTGCAGTTTTGGACTCCTCTCGTCGAGAGCTTCTTTCTAGTATGCTCAAAAATAAATTTCGAGCATCTCGATTTCTGGGCAATTCTGAAAAACACACCCTGTTTTTCCGAAAATCCACCAACGCGGCTCTAATACCACTTGTTAGAATTAAGGCACACCAAGAAATCAATCACACACAGAAAAGACACAAAATATTTACGTGGTTCGGCAATTGCCTACGTCCACGAGAGAAATATCCACTTTAGAATTTTCTTGGAGGGAGTTACAATACTCACACCTCACTCTCTCTCTATAACACTCTCACTCAAACACACACTCTGTGTTTTTCTATGTTTATTCCCTTCCTCCTCACCTTAATTTATATAGAAAAGAGAATGAAACAAAGTCAAGCAAGAGAAGTTATTGGGTTGGCTGCCACCTACTATCTTCCCTCCTACTTCTTGACTTGGAGCAAACCAGCCAACCTCTAACTACTCCTCCATGTGGCTGGAGCAGCTAACAAATATAGCAATTGGGAGTGATAATTTTTGTAATTGGCAAATCATTTATGAGATTAATGGAGGAACTAAACAACTTCCAACTCTTATAAAGCTTTTTTTTATACAATAGATAAAGATGACTTTGGATGACAGGCAATAAAGTGATATGGAATTCCCCGTCTCTAAAATACGTGTTTCTTTATCATAATATAATCTCAACTTTATAATAATGTTGCGGGAATCTCGAATTCTAGCCAAAAATTGCGCCTCAAGATTTTCAATTTGGAGATTTATCCCATATCAAGTGATTAAGAGTGCAGTGGGGAAAAAATAAAAAATTTGGGAATAGAAAATTCTCTGCCCAGCTAAGCATAATAATGAATTATGCCTAAATTGAAAAAGAATGCAGTTTTTTTTTATTTACACAAACCAATTATAAAATTAGAGATAAATCGCGCTTACATGGTTTGTAAGATGAGCAAAGATCCTCTAGAGTTTTTTTTTTCTAAAGTTTCCTAGAGTGGTGTGTTGTATGGTTGAGATTTAATGACAAGTCACATCAATTTTTTAGCATTAAATCTCACCCATACAATATACCACTTTAGGAAATTTTAGGAAAAAAAAAACTCTAGAGGATCCTTGGTGTTGTAAGATTCGTAAAAGGTGGGATTCAATAAGATGGTTGTTAAATAGAATGCAATTCTATTATTTTCATAAAAATAAATTATGTTAAATCAAATAAAATCGTATTACATGAATGTAAAACTCACAAAATATGAAACTTATTTCATAAAAGAAAGTTATCAGGATCATGTCCACATTAATGATAATTTTTTTGTATTCTTAAATTTTTTCAATGGAATGAGAAATAATAATGCATTATCTCCATGATTGACCAACGAAAATCTCTTGTAGTATTTAGCATCAAGCCATCGTGGCTACAAAAGAAGCCATAATGATAAAACTATTATTAGACTGGATTATTCGTCCCATTATTGGAAAGCTTTTTTGACTATGGATTTTGATTAGCTATTCCACTCTAATTTTTTACAGCTTTACCATCCTAGCTAGAACTCCACTAAAGGCACAAAAACTTTATATACTTAATTGTTGCCTGTGAGATTTCCTATCAGTAACACCATCATACATAAGTTGTTATAGAACAATATTATCTGATATCATTGATATCGATATTTAAAATTATTATTTGTACAAAAATTAAAAAAGAGAAATTAGTTTTAAGGGATTGACATAGTGGGCATAACATGAAATTTGAGAGTGTGCCCAGACCTCATGGGTCAGTCTATGTAAGATGTTTATTTTGATTTTAAATAAGTTTTCCATAAGTGAACGGTGAAATTGATATCCTGAAATTAGTTGAGATGCTTATAAATTAGCTCGGACACCTGATTATCAAATCAATAAGAACAAAATCTTTAAAGGCATAGAACATATTGACATTTTGAAAAAGGAACACAAACTTGTATTGTACATTACATGCATTAAGATGCATGTTTTTAGGCTATCTCTATCTTCAGAGAAAGTTAGAGCGCACACAAGGACACAGACACACACAGACTACTACAACATGCATGAGATGGTTACAATGATTTTGGGAGAACCAACCAAATTAAAGACCTTCCTTACGAGACTATTTTACATCTATGAACAAATTTGAATAAATAAAAATTATGATAATTAGCCGGTTAAATTCGAGCTCTCTTGATCATAACATGCAAAAAATGGATCGGTTATGGCGGGAAACATCTTACTCTCCTTATTTTCTTCCATCATCCAAAGCATGTCAGGAGGAGGAGGACAGTAGTTCCAAATTGGAGAAGCCATGATTGTTTCACAAACTGTTTTCATCGTGTTGCTTTCAGATAGAGCAATATCTTCCCATATGTCATCCATGGAGTACCCTGTTTCGGTACTCTCTCCCTCTTCAAAACCCTTATTTATTCCCTTTGGAGTCAACATCTGATGATGATCCCCACCGGTATCGTAGAAGCTTCGTTCCTTGGTCTCCACGAAGGGCATCGAGTCCACCGGAGGATTGTTTGAGACCGAGGAAGATGAATTTGAAGGTGGTGACATGGCCCTTTTCCTCTCCTGAGCCTTCTTCCTCATGTGAGTCCTCCAGTAGTTCTTGATCTCGTTGTCGGTCCTCCCCGGTAACTTGTGAGCAATTCTTGACCATCTACACGTGATTGTAGGTCACATATAAATTCAAAAATACTAACATATGTATTAAAAATTGAGTGACACAATTTTTTTAGCAGTTGAATTGGCAAAATGACCTCCTTTGTGTTCAAATCTCTTTGTTCCTTATCTCACAACAATCGTAATCACTAGATCATGTCTTGAGGTTACCACACCTCAAGATTTTCAATGATTTAATAGATGTAGGTTTTTTGAGATAAGGGAATAGAGAAATTTAAGAGTAGAAGATTCTTAGTTTAAACTAACCACATCAACTATGAATCAATGACACCTATATATTAAGATATCCATACCAGTATTTAAAATCATGATTTATGCATGTAAAACATAACAAATCAATGGGTATATATGAAACTATAGTTAGTGAATAGCATAAGATGTTCTTTGTTTACATCTCCTATCTCAAAACACTCATGTTCATTAAATATGTTTTGAGATTATATATTACATAATCTAATGATTATGTGTGTTTTGAAACAGAGGACCAATAGATTTAGGGACAGAGAATCGTGACAGTCAGATAAGCATATGTATAGATTTGTCAAACCTATTTCCCCATTTGGACTGAAGTTCCAAGACAAGGCGTTCTTCAAGGGGAGTCATCTTGGACCTTTTGAGACCCGGGTGGAGGTAATTGACCCAACGCAACCTGCAACTCTTTCCTGTTCTTTTCAAGCCTGCAACACAAAGTTTACAACAAAAACAAACACACGCACAACACCCAATACCGATACGGGTTAAAACTTGGAGCTCCAAACGTACCCGTTTATTATTCGTCTCCCGCCACCTTCAAACCTGAAACTTTTGCTATGGAGTCCCATCTCCGATCACCAAACAAATTCACATAGAAAACCAGTTGTACATCTTCTTGTTCTGTCCATGGTCCCTTCCTGATCTCCTCCTCTTTCACCATCTTCTCTCTCTCTCTTTCTCTTCTCTTCTCTTCCTTTGCTTTGCTTCTCCGATTCCTTTTGCTTTACATGGAAACTTAAGGGGGGTGCGTGCTACTAGTATTTATATACAGAGACGCATTTAATTTTTTAGTTATTTTAGTTTGAAAATAAAATAGTTTTACTATGATACGAGTTTTTTTAATTTTTATAAAAAAAAAATAATTATAATTTAAATGTAACTACTTTTAACAAAAATTAAAAAAATTATTTTATCATTTTATAATTATTTTAGTCCCAAGATTCATGTGCATTTGTAGTGACCCTTTGTGATGTGTTTGTCTCATTTTTAAATAACATAAAATATACTTAAGTGTGCCTAAATGATACGTTTTGGTGTGTCCCATAAAAAATAATTTTAAAAAATTGATAGGCTTGGTGTCAATTTAATTTTTAGGGTAAATTACACTGACACCCCTGAGGTTTAAGTTTATTACAATTTTCTCTTTCACCTTTTGGAAATTACATCTCTTCCTGAGATTTAAAGTTTCATTATAGATTCTCCCCTTCAACAATTTATTTTTTTTAAATACCAAATTTGCCCTCATTGAGTTAATTACATTGACACTTCTCACATTTTAAAAATTACAATCCCCTTCCTAAGGTTTAAAGTAGCATTACCAATTGTCCCCTCGGTTAGATTTAGTTGGAAAAAAAATTTATTGAAAAAAAAATTAATTAAAAAAAATTTTGTTAGTAAACTTTTTAAATTTCTGTTTAAAAACTAACGTAAACTTATTTTTTAAATTTACGTTTTTTTCTCAAATTTACAAACTGAGACAACCATTTATAAACCAAAAAAATTATCAAACAAGTTTTTATGACATTTTTTTAAATTTTTGTAAATATATATTGAAAACTGAAAACGAAATGATTACCAAACAGGCTTTAGATGGTAAAAATGTCGTAAAATTTACAAATAATTAAATAAGTTACCAACGTAAGAAATTACTTATCAAAAGATTCTTAGGCTATGTATGGTTTGATTTTTAGAATTTTTTTAAAAAAATTAAAAATTATTTTGGTTAAGAAATAAAAATAAAAATTAATTATCATTTTTATATAATTTTTATCTTTCGAGTGATTAGAAATAATTTTTTATAAATTAAATTGAAACATCCATACGTATATATATAACCTACCCAAAATTTAAAATGATAATTATTTTTTACCCTTAAATGATAATTATTTTTTATTTTTTATTTCTTAACCAAATTAATTTTTAATTTTTTTTAAAAAAAAATTCTAAAAATCAAACCATACATAACCTAAGAATATTTTGATAAGTCATTTCTTACGTTAATAATTTATTTAATTATTTGTTAATTTTATCACATTTTTACCATCTGAGGCCTGTGTGGTAACCATTTTGTCTTCAATTTTTAATTTATATTTACAAAAATTTTAAAAACTGGCATAAAAACTTATTTGATAATTTTTTTACTTTATAAATGGTTGTCTCAGTTTGTAAATTTGAGAAAATGTTTATATATATATATATATATGAGTGTGTGCATGAGAGCTTTATACAGATATGCAGAATTTTGAATGGATAAAATTATAGAACCTCTCTCTCTCTCTCTTTCTCTTTCTCTCCATTTGTGTATGTATGAGAATTTGAATAGATAAAGATAAAAAAAATTGAACAGATAGAAAGAATTGAACAGATAAATTTTTTGAACAAATAGATTTAAACAAATAAGTGAAAAAATTGAACATATAATTTGATCTAGACAGATATTTGAACAGATAAGGAATTTTAGCGGATAGATATTCCAACATATTGATACAAATTTGACAGATAGTTAAAAAAATCAAAACAGATTGCCAAAAAAAATTAAACAAATAAAATATTTGAACAAATAGTTAAAAGTGATATTTATTCATAAATCTCTCTTCACCTACTTATGTTCTAATAAGTCCTATGGGTGACATAATTGTCAAAATACCCCTAATAATATTCACATTGACAGTATGAATGTCACGTGATGTGAACATTCATATTGTTAATGTGAATGTTCACACTATCAATATAAACATTCACACGTCAATGTGAATATTCACACTGTCAAATATGAATGTTCACATCACCAAGTTGCTAAGTATTTAAAAAATATTGGGTAAATTACACTGACACCCCCTGAGGTTCAGGTTTATTATAATTCCCCCCTCACCTTTTGGAAATTACATCTCCCCCCTGAGGTTTAAAGTTTCATTACAAATTCTCCCCTTCAGCAATTTATTTTTTTTAAATACCAAATTTGCCCTCATTGAGTAAATTACATTGACACTTCTCACATTTTAGAAATTACAATCCCCTCCCTAAGGTTTAAAGTAGCATTACCAATTGTCCCATCGGTTAGATTTAGTTGGAAAAAAAATTTATTGAAAAAAAATTAATTAAAAAAAATTTTTGTTAGTAAACTTTTTAAATTTCTGTTTAAAAACTAACGTAAACTCATTTTTTAAATTTACGTTTTTTTCTCAAATTTACAAACTGAGACAACCATTTATAAACCAAAAAAATTATCAAACAAGGTTTTATGACATTTTTTAAAATTTTTGTAAATATAAATTGAAAACTGAAAACGAAATGATTACCAAATAGGCTTTAGATGGTAAAAATGTCGTAAAATTTACAAATAATTAAATAAGTTACCAACGTAAGAAATTACTTATCAAAAGATTCTTAGGCTATGTATGGTTTGATTTTTAGAATTTTTTTAAAAAAAATTAAAAATTATTTTGGTTAAGAAATAAAAAATAAAAAATAATTATCATTTTTATATAATTTTTATCTTTCGAGTGGTTAGAAATAATTTTTTACAAATTAAATTGAAACATCCATATGTATGTATATAACCTACCCAAAAGTTAAAATGATAATTATTTTTTACCCTTAAATGATAATTATTTTTTATTTTTTATTTCTTAACCAAATTAATTTTTAATTTAAAAAAAAAAATTCTAAAAATCAAACCATACATAACCTAAGAATATTTTGATAAATCATTTTTTACGTTGATAACTTATTTAATTATTTGTTAATTTTATTACATTTTTACCATCTGAGGCCTGTGTGGTAACCATTTCGTCTTCAATTTTTAATTTATATTTACAAAAATTTTAAAAACTGTCATAAAAACTTATTTGATAATTTTTTTACTTTATAAATGGTTGTCTCAGTTTGTAAATTTGAGAAAAAACGTAAATTCAAAAAATGAGTTTATGTTAATTTTTAAACAAAAATTTAAAAATTTTACTAACAAAAATTTTTTTCAATTTATTTTTTTTTTCAATTAAATTTTTTTTTCAATTAATTTTTTTTCATGAATTTTTTTTCCAACTAATACTAACCGATGGGGTAATTGGTAATGCTACTTTAAACCTTGGGGAGGAGATTGCAATTTCTAAAATGTGAGGGGTGTCAATGTAATTTACCTAATGAGGGTAAAATTGGTATTTAAAAAAATAAATTGCTGAATGGGGGAATCTGTGATGAAACTTTAAACCTCAGGAAGGAGATGTAATTTCTAAAAGGTGAGGGAGGAAATTGTAATAAACCTAAACCTCAAGGGGTGTCAGTATAATTTACCCTAATTTTTATCTATGAAGCTTTTAATTTAGTTTTGTTATAATACAATTATCTAAGTTGTTAACATAATGATAATAATAAAATAGTGTAAGACTATGTTTAGATGGTTAAAATTTTAGGAAAAATAACGAAAATCTCATTATTAAGATTTAATATGAAATCGACCAAAGAATTAACCACATAAAATACTTTCGACCATACAAATTAGGTGGTGAGCTTATTATAAATAATATAATTTCACTAAAATTATTTTACTTTTATTTAATTATGTAATCAAAGACTTATTGTTCTTGAATTATTCAACTACTTGGATGAAATTATTTCAATCATTAAATTATTGAATATTGGATTCTTAATAATAAAATTTTCATTCCGCCTCCAAATTCTTACCATCCAAATAGTCTTACCATGTTTCAAATGAGTTTGATAAAATTAATTTTTTTTATTTAAAATTAAATTAATTTGATTCAAATTATTACAAATTTAATTGATTATGATTTTATTTGTTTTTAAATCGAGATTCGAATCTTAGCCGTGGAAGTGCTGCGCGCAAGCGGTGCTTCCTTCGGTAATAGGATAGGAGGCTCGTGCATATGACGTCGGCCATTATAAACAGGAAAATCTACCATGATTTCATTTTGGTAGAATTTTTTTAATCTGATTTTTTAATTTTTTGTTATTTTAATTTGACTAAAAAATTTTATTTGTGAAGAATTTTTGATTTTTTTATAATTTTGTAAGAGAAAAAGTGAAATAATTATGATTTAGATGTGATATTTACCTTATTAATTTTTTAATCTATTTTGTCTTTTAGTAAACAATTAATCTCAACTCCCTTACTAAACGAAGCCAATAATTAAGCAATGGATCTCTTGTTGACGTAAAATTTTCATAACTTGCCATTCATGTAATGTAAGTTTTTATTTTTAATTAAGTGTTTGGATAAGTTTGAATACAAATAGTCTTACTATGTTTGAAATGTGATTGATATAATTAATTTTTTTATTTAAAATTAAATTAATTTTATTCAAATTTAAAAAAATTAATTACAAATTTAATTGATTATGATTTTATTTGTTTTTAAATCGAGATTCGAATCTTAGCCGTCCAAGTGGTGCTCGCAACCGGTGCTTCCTTCGGTAATAGGGTAGGAGGCTCGTGCATATGACGTCAGCCATTATAAACAGGATAATCTACCATGATTTCATTTGGGGAAGAATTAGATAATCTACCATGATTTCATTTGGGGAAGAATTTTTTGAGGTGGTGTTTGGTTATCATTTTGGATTAAATAATCACAAAAAGATAAAAATAAATTAAAATATTACAAAATGTTAAAAATTATAAAAAAACAAAAAAAAGATTACTATGCCAAAATTAAAAAGTTAAAAAAGTCAATCAAGAATACCAAACGAATAAAAAAGTCTCAGGTTAAAAAAGTTA